TTAATTTTTCAGTAGACGAGCTTTTCATTCCAATTTAAAAAAAGAAGATTTATTCTCAAGGTTTGAAGAGCGTTAATAATACACGAGCCATTAATAAATTTGTATAATTACACCTTTTTTACGGTTTTTATGTGGAGATAGAACAAAGATTCTCTGAAGCGACGGTATGTTTAGATTTAGTACATGCTTATTTTTTCTCATTATTTTTCCGAAATGAACTGACATGAAACCAAAGTAAGAAGCCAATAATATTATACAAACATTTATTTGCCTTCCTGTAAATTTCAATAACATCAAACGTTGCGGAGCCAACCTGTTATATTTATTTATACTACTCAGATTAATTAAACGCATGACTGTAGGTTTGTTTATACACAAAATGTAATTAGTAAGTTTTGACCTACAAAATAGATTTTGTGGTAAATTAATTTGTGGTCCTTTGTAGTCGGACCGCACAAGACATATTGAGATGGGTTCACTCTTATTATTTGTCTACCTGCTATGTTATATAACTTTCACCATCACCAAGCCAATATGTACTTTGTTTGTAATTCAATGATAATTTTCTTCTCTACGTATAATTGTAAAATTAATTTCTTGAGAACGACATTACTGATTGTATACATCTTTTTTTTGAGTTTTTACAGATAAATAGTGTGAGAAAGTTATTTATCGCAGATGGACTTGTCGGCGTTAGTTTTGGATAAAAAGTTATTACTTTCTATTTTGAGGAGCGCGATATCGCAGTGGATTTGCGATTACGGGTCTTAACAGAAGCATCTCCCCACGGGTGTGGTTTGGTAATTCAGTTAGAGTCTGACATAGCCCTACAATCGGCTGTAGGGTATTCATGAGCGTTCCACACCTAATGCTCCGCTTGGGAGGAAACAGGAATGAAACTAATCACGTCACAACACTTTGGATGGGTAAAGGCGTCGAGTCAAAGCTCGAAGTGGAAGACCCATAAGTTTCACCCCTTAAAAAAACACCAGATTTAACCCCGTGCAATGTTAAAAGTCCATTAGACTTCTACTTCTAGGTTTTCTATTGACTGCCTTATCAAAGTGTCGCACACAGAAAAAGTCGCACAAATATCTCACAAACCAAAACATGAAAAATACATCATTAAGTACGTATCATATGAAAAATGCTTTTCCAAAGATAGTGATTAGTATTGATATCGGTTATTTTGAGGAATTATTAATAAATAAATTTCTTTCAAAATTTCAAAGGTTCGAGGCTGCTTTCGACTACTGGGAATTGCTACAAAATATCCATTACATATATTATTATAAAATCATGGTAAAAGTATTCAAGTAAAGTACGCTTTCGAAGAATTATTTATTTTTTGTAAAAGATTCAATACTTGGGCCCAATTTTAATAATCCTTAGATGTGATGAATGATTATTCGTTTTCTATACACCCACGGTTAATACGGTTTTACGGTTTTAGATCTTTATTCTCATAAAAAATTACAAAATTCACTTACCATGAGAACATAAAATATTTTAAATAACAATTTGGTTAAATACGGAGATACATTGAAGTCGTGGGTAGAACTAAAAACAGTGTCATTGCTCATTGATTACGTTCGGGCATAGATGGCTCGGTTAACAAATGAAAAAAAAAAAGCTTTGATCACAGTTATAGCTCCGCGTCGTACTAGAAGTGGCTTGAGTTGCTTGTGTTAGGAGTTTAGTTTGTAAATAATTTATATTTATTACCTATATTGGTAGTTCAACACCGTTCATCATATTTTATTTGATGCATGTAAATTATCACGGTTTATCCGTGCAGAAGTAGTAATATATATGTATATATTTTATAACACTTCTTTGTCTATTTTTTATTTTGATGGGTTTGATATATTTATAACATTATTTATGACTTGTATTGTTTGTTCATATATTTTTTTAAAGTTTATTATTTTTATGCTGTTTTATTTGAGACAGTTAAATTTATAATTTTATACGGAGAAATACATAATAATTAAATATATAGACATATCGAGGAATATATTTTTAGTATTATCTGTAACAAGGTGTTATAATTATTAATAATATATAATTATTAATATATTTTTAAATAAAATTGAGTAATCAATTGAATTGAATTGAATAAAATGTTACAGATTTTTGCACATAATATCTAAGTCGTTTTTTAAAGCCTAAAATTGTTTGTGATTCTTTTATGTCTTTAGGAAGTTTATTATATATTACAGCTCCTTCACACAAAAGGCTTTTTTTACCATAGTTAGTTCTTGGTGCACGTAAAATAAGGTCATTGGCATTTTTTAGCTTTTTTTTTGGATTTCTCTCTTTTTAGTGAAGCTCATTTGAGTGTGAATATCCTTTGTTAATATTTTACGAATTAATAAACAAGTAAAATAAACATACGACTGTCTAATATTTAGCAGTTTCGTTTCCTCGTATAATTTATTACTTGGCGTGAGATAATCATAGTCAAAGAGCACTTTTATAATTTTATTTTGGGCTCGTTGGACTGGGTCCAAGTTACTAGGCGAAAACGTATCTAATGCTTCTAATAATTGAAATACATTGCCAACAGTTTGCTCACCAATAAATTCTATTTATCTAAGCCCAGTAGATAGCAAAGAAATTAATAAAATAATAAAATCAATGAAAAACAAATATAGCTGTGGCATGGATTGATTAAACAATGCGCAGAAACACTTTCACCATTGAGTTTTTTAATAAATCAAAGCTTTGCCGTTGGCTCCTTTCCTGACCAATTAAAAATGTCAATTGTAAAACCCCTTTACAAAAAAGGAGACAAAACCAACCTTAACAATTATAGGCCAATAGCCCTATTACCCGCGTTCTCCAAGGTCTATGAAAAAGCAATGCTCATTCGCTTAAACAATTTTTTTGAAAAGCAATAGATATTGGATGATTGCAGTGTTTAAATTCATTCAAATGGGGATTCAACATGTCAATGATAAAGCATATTCTATAGGTTTATTACTTGATATGACAAAGGCATACGATAGGGTGTCGTACAGTATATTGCCTCAGAAACTATATAATTCAGGTATACGAGGTCCGGCGTACCTTTGGTTTCAGTCTTACCTCAACAGTAGGAAACAAATTGTGGAAATCCTGCATCATATGCATGATATGGATACAACTGAAATCCAAACAATACAGTCGGAGAACATGGATTTAACGTGCTCTATACCACAAGGGACCGTTTTAAGATTTATGCTATTCTTAGCCTACATAAACGACTTACCAAAATTTTTGATTAGCGAATCTGTACAACCTGTACTTTTTGCCGACGATATATCAATTTTAATAAAAAGTAATAGTGTTAGTAATATGAGTCAAATAACAAATGAAACCCTAGAATTAGTAACGCTTTGGTTACAAAATCATAATTTAGAAATTAATAACGAAAAAACTAAAGTTTAGATCATACGGAAAGCCTCCTTTAAATTTAAAAAATAATTATCGAAACGCAGATCTCGAAACTGTAGAATCGTTTAATTTGCTCTGTATGACCATTGACACGCACTTAAATTGGAAATCCCACGTAGAATCCATTAAATGTAAGCTTGCTAAGTTCACATATGCTCTATATCAATTAAAACAATGTACAAATACAGACACAGCGTTATCTGCGTATTATGCATATGCGTATTCATGGCTGAGGTACGGAATAATGCTATGGGGAAACGGCACAACTGCTAACGAGCTCTTTATAATGCAAAAGAAATGTATACGTATCATAGCCCACAAAGATAATACGGAAAGCTGCAGACCATATTTTATAAAATACAAAATCCTGACTTTACCATCCATATATATCCTAGACATATCACTATTCGTACATCAAAATTTAGACGTATTTAAAAAAGTTGACGAAACACACGGCACAAAAATCGATTATATTTACCACCATCTCGATTGAGAAAACTTAGTAGCAGTCCATATTATATGTGTATAAAAATTTATAATAAATTACCCGCTCACATAAAAAACGAAAAACATTTTAACTAATTTAGGACAAAATTGAAAATATATTTATTATATAAATGCTTTTACACCATAGATGAATACTTTCCTTGATCTTTAAAATACAAACCTAGATTTTTATAATCATGTTTATTGGCATATTATTTGATTTTTATTGACATATTTATTAATTTTAATTATTGACAAAAATTTTATAAACGAATATCCATAATAATAATTACAAAATTAAACTAGTACTGTAAATAAGATAAATTGAGTGAGTTATAAAATTAATGAATTAAGATGACATTTATGCATGCTTTGAGAAAAAAAGTTTTTTAATAAAAATTAGGTTCTTCATATAGATAATTGTTTATTTGTTAAATTCTCTTTTGTAATTTTTATCTATATTGCGATACCCTGACAGGGTTCATGTTAGGTACTTTATGCATTTTGTAACTTGTAACCATCCATGTAACCACATGAGTGCAATAAATTGAATTGAATTGAATTCTCTTTGCAGCAGCACCCCAGACCTCAATCAGATAATCTATGTGAGGTTTCACGAGGGAATTGTATATAAGGTAACGCATCTTATATGGAAAACATCGTGTTATTCCTCGAAGAGTACCGGTTATAGTGGATAATTTTGATTTAATTTTCTCTATGTGCGGTTTCAAGATTGCTATCAAGAAGCAGGCCGAGGTACTTTTCACAATTCAAACTTTTAAGTTTTTGGTTATTTATGCTTAGTGGTTTAAAATCGGGTATTTTTTTGTTTTTAGCTTTAAATATAATGTAGTTAGTTTTAGATATATTGATTGTCAGTAGATTACATTGAAACCAATGATGCAATGCGTCAAGATCATTTTGAGCGTCTTCAATAATATAGTATTTATTGACCTTCCGAAGTAAAATAAACTTGTATCATCCACATATAAAGTTACGTCTCCTTTTAAGCCTATTTCACTTATGCTGTTTATGTAAATCAGAAATAACAAGTGACCCAAAATCGAGCCCTGCGGCACGCCGTATGTTACAAGTTTTTGCTGGCTCTGGAAATTACCGTTTTTAACTACCTGAATGCGATTTGTTAAGTAAGATTTTATCATTGCGTATGCGACACCCGCGATGCCAATCTGTTTCAACTTTTCCAAAAGCAGATCATGACTCACGGTATCAAACGCTTTTTTTAGGTCTATGAATATGCCTAACACGATATGCTTTTCATCAATCTTAGTTTTTATTTTAGTGGTCAAATCTACAGTTGCTGATAAGGTGTTCGATTTGCGCCTAAAACCGTACTGCTTGTTATAAAGGAATTGAATCGAGGTCAGAAAAGTTTCAAGATGGTTGTATAAAATTTTCTCAAATACCTTAGAGAGTACTGAGAGAACTGAAATTGGTCGGTAATTGCCAGAGTTGGATTTATTTCCAGATTTGTGTATAGGAGTGACTTTCGCTATTTTGAGACTACAGGGGAAGATACCAATTTCAAGCCACTTATTAATACATTTTGTGAGCTCAAGGGCAATAAGCTTCTTGACGCACTTAATAGATTTGGTGTTTATGCCATCTATACCTGACGCTATTTTTAAGTTTAGATTATCGATAATCTTGGTAACCTCTTCCTCAGTCGTAGGTGTTAGTTGCATCAGTTTCTGTGTATGTTGGTCTAATCTTGTTGTATTCGAGGTGGTATGGGAATGAAAATTTATTGGTATCTCGTTTGCTAGAGATGCTCCGATTGTTGAAAAATATTGGTTGAAGTATTCGTATATTTCTTGGGTATTTGTGATAGTTGTAGTATCTGTCTGGAGTTTGGCTGAAACCAAGATATCTTTTATTTTGTTGTGTGACAGTGTGTTTATTAAATTCCATATTTTAGTAGGTTTATTTTCACAGTCCTTAAATGCCTTGTAGTAGTATTGGTGTTTTGTTGTTCGTATATTTCGTGATAATGCTTGTCTCTCTTTTATGTATTCCTCTTCTACCTGCTTGTCTGTTGGATTTCTTTTGTGTTCTAGTCTTAGTGTATTTCTTTTTTCTATTGCTTTTACAATATTTTTCTTTATCCAGTCTTGTTTTGTGGGTTACACTTTTTAGTTTTAGTGATCTTATTTTGGCGTATGGATGAAATAAGATTTTGTTCAAAGACATGATAATCAAGCTTTGTATTGCAGTTCATATTTTCAATCGTATTATACAAACTATTATAGTCAATTGCTTCATATTAGATTGATCTTATAGGTTCAGATTTGTAATTTATCACTTCGAAATACACTTCTGGACACATCTATTGGCCCACCTTGTATTTTCAGTTTCGTTTGGTCCTAGCTAAAATTTTATATTACGTCGAGCAAAAAGTTTTTATGCAGTTTTGAAGAATTTCATTCGATAGTTTATTTTTTAATTTCGAACATAGAATTTAAAGAAACAAAAGACAATTTGGAGCCTGTTTGTTGATATCAAACAATCGAATACTAAGAAAACTTGGTTTTATTGGTTTACTTGGATTTAATTCTTGAAAAAGTGATTGTTAACTTTGGTTTTGCAACAAAAATTACTTATTCTTAACATTAAGGTGAGGTTCTATCAATAATCTATGGATACTTCACCTGAAGTCGCCGCCCAAGCTGTGGCACTTATTCAGGCCGGACACAGCCAAAGAAACGTGAGTGCTCAACTTAATTTAAGTCGATCTGCGGTCCGAAATGTTTGTCGGAGGTACCTAAAGACTGGCGGCTTTGTTCGTCGCCAAGGAAAGCCACGATCTCGGGTCACAACTGAAAGGCAGGATCGATTCATCGTGATGATCAGCTTGATAAATTGTCACCTTACCTCCATTGAGATACAAAAACAAATTCGCGACTTCCACGGAGTATCTGTGAGCGCTCGAACTGTTCGGAGAAGGTTAAAAGAACGCGATATGGTACCACACAAGCCAGCTAATGGGCCCAAACTAACGCGAGCCCACCGAACAGCGCGCCTTCATTTCGCACGCAGTCATTTAAATTGGACACAGCAAGATTGGAGCCGTGTAGCTTTTCTGATGAGTCTAAAATTGTGTTACATGGCAATGATGAAAGGAAGAAGGTCTACCAACGTAAGGGAGAGCGTTTCGCACAATGCTACTTTGAAGAGAGGGTTGCTTATGGCGGTGGCTCATGGACTGTCTGGGGCGGTATATCCGCGAGCGGCAAAACTCAACTTGAGGTTGTTACAGGACCACCGCTGCCAACATTAAATGCTGAAAGGTGAGTGAGTGCTTAGAACCTCACGTGATACCATACGTGGACTATGTGGGCCCAAATTTCCTTTTTATGCATGATAATGCAAAAGCCCATGCGGCCGGCATCGTCAGGGAAAATCTTCGGGATTTGAACATCACAGTTATGGACTGGCCAGCCAGAAGCCCAGACATGAACCCCATTGAGCATATGTGGGACGAGCTAAAAAGACGTGTTAGGGCTCGTCAGCCAGTTGCCCAGACGACGCAGGAGTTGAAAACTGCCATAGAAGAGGAATGGGAGATGATCCCTCAAAATTTCATAGAGCGGTTGATAAACTCTATGCCTAATCGTATGAGAGCTGTGGTAGATGCCCATGGAGGCAACACGCGTTATTAAATTAAACCTTTATTTGATAAAACATGTTTTTTATTCAAAAATCAATTGCCTTTAACAAGGCGCATATCCGACTTGTTAAGCGTAGCTCCATGTTGTATGGTATTCTGAATTCAAATTTAAAACAATACGATCGAAAAAGATGGTAAAATGTATCAGGTTTAAAACTGCATCAACAGTTTTTGTTCAATCTAGCAATCATATTTCGGTAGGGGCCATCGAAATCTAAACTCTAAGGTGGGCCAATAGATGTGTCCAGAAGTGTATATTTGCATATGATCCGACATATCCGATTCCACAACTGCTAAGTGGAATACATTATTTTTCAAGTTGGAGCAGACATGGTCGAGTATTGTTTTTGTTGTGCTACTTTCTCTGGTGCAGAAATGGATATCTATTTTGTTGATGAGTTGAAATCCACATTCCTTTACGGTTGCTTTATAGTCAGCAACTGATCGATCCATGCTTAAAAGATCCTCGTTGAAGTCTCCAAAAACCAGTCCCCTTTTTCTTTTTTCTAGCTGTTCTGAGTAATATTGTAAAAAATCCTTGTTGTTAGTACGTTCAGGTTTGTAAACAGCTCCTATATGTAAAGAGAATTTGCTTACGTGTATCCAGAGAAAGTGATTTTCGTTAAATGAGCTTTCTTCAATCAAATTGAGTTTTAATGAATTATGAGCAAAAATTGACACGCCGCCGCCTCTGCTACTATGTCTGATATTAAAATAGTGAGTGTATCCTGCTAGTTGGAATCTTTTAGCCTCGTCCTCGGACTTTAACCATGTTTCACTTAATACAATTACCTGAATTAGGTATTGAAACGACTGGATTATACATGCGAGCTCGTCAATTTTGCATACTTCGGGCATTGGCGTAGAAACATTTTAGGGATTTCTTATTAATTATTATTTCAGTGTATTTGCTAGTAGTTTGATTGACTTAAAATTTTCTACGACTTTGTGTGTAGAAAGTGCTGGTTGGGGTTTTTTGGAACTTCTTTTATTATTTTTAGAATTCCTCTGATGTATTTTATGCAAAGATTTTCTTCACCGCTTGACGTGCGCTGTTCAAGTTCGTATTTTAACATTTTCATGTTATCCTGTTGTTGGGGTGTTTGGTCGGAAAATATTTTAATGTTATTGTCATTTAGATTTTGTTTACTTTTCAGTATTAATGTTGCTGTTTCCTGAGATGTAAAACACACTTTCATATGTCTCTGCCTACTTGATTGATATTTACCCAAGCGATAGATTTTATCGGGGTCGGGAATATCTTTAAGACCTAAGATATTTCTAAGGATGTTAAGGATCGCATTCATATCTTCTTCTCGTCTTTCCTTTGGATTATCAGCTTTTGGTTCGGGGACACCCATCACTATTATATTTCTGCTCCTCAGGTTTCTTTCACTAAGTTCAGCTACTAATTCTTCTCGTGTATCTGACATGGAGAAACGGTTCAGGGAAGTATTATCATGCTGTAGGCTAGATTCAATCGATTCGATTTTCTTTTCAGTTATGTTATTATTTATTTTTAAGTTGTCTATATCTAGTTTTAATTTAGCCTGTTCTACAGATAACGTGTCGGAGTTCAACTTAATGTCATGCATTTGTTGTTTAATAACTGACACATCTACATTAAGTTTTTTAAAATTGTCTGTTTGCATATTAACCATAGTAGATAAATATGTCATCATTTCGCTCATCTGATTTTGAACCGTTGTTATCTGTTTTTTCATCTCCGAAAATTCCGTCATTATTTCCTCGTAGTCACTACCTAACTTTCGTTTGTTACGGAAAGTCTTTTGTACCTCTGGTGTATCTTGACATACGGTTTTGCTTGGTAAATCAGGATAGGATCCACTTCGCACAGACAAAGTGTCACTTCCAGTTGGAGGAGATCGTTGTACGCTCATAGTGGATGATTTGTTTATTGTTATGTAAGGAGGTACTCACTGTTTGCGCGCGCGACGTACGTGCAAGCGAGATGAAAAATAGGAGCCCGTCGTTTTTACCCGAGGAGGTGCTGCCAGCTGTTGCTCAGGAGTGTAAGAACTTAATTCACTCACGTGGTTCAATCTCAAACAGACTCAGTCTTGTTTACATTGCAGTTTAGAGTTGAATAGCAAAATTAAATATGAATTATAAAATATTTGCCGACACGACCGCTTCTTATGCGCTCCGGGCTAATTAATACGAATTTTTAAGTGGATTCTGCGTGACAACCAGTAGCTAAATATGTAAATTCAAATGAATAATGATTTTCCTTTCTTGATTTAATCGGATTTTATATGAGATCGTTAAAATAATAGCTTCTTTTACAGTAAAACACGATAAGTTTCGACGAGTTATATAAGCCCACATCTTTTCAACATAAAACATTTAATGGATCAGAGTGGTTCTTGTCTCGACCATATGATGATAAAATCTAGGTCAACATATCTAACACTTGTCACAAAAACGCCGCTTACCGATCATTCCGCTGTCTTACTAACCTTAAATTTATCGCTGCCTAAACTGAATCATAAACTAGTAAAATCTAAGTTAAACATAAAGAAACTCGAACACGATTTATGCAAGCTTGACTTTGCCCCAGTTTTTCAATCGACGGACGTGAATGTATCTTTGTTGTATTTAATTAATAATGTCGAACAAGCTATATTACATAATACGTCTGTAGTTGCTTTAAATAAACAGTATCAAAATATCAAACCTGTGATACCCCGAGTATTATTCGATGTATAACACAGGGATAAACTTCATGAGGACAAAAAAATATCCCGATAACCTCACATTACTAATTATCTATAGGAGATACAGGAATTTTTGTAATAATCTTTTGAAAAAAATAAAAGCAAATTAAGAAAAAAATTAACTACTCAAAGCAGGCAAGGATAGCAAACGCCTTTGGAGACTAAAAATTTTACCTACACTTCAAAAATGCACGAATCGTGTTCGAGTTTACTATTAACCCATCCTTCACCGCTTATAACAGCCAATTATGTAAATAACTATTTTATTAATATGGGAAAAGACCTTGCAGAACGCCACCAACCTCTAAATATATTTTCTCAGTCACTTAACGCTACCACTAGTAGGAATAGTTTTGTTATGTTAGATACCGACCAAAAAGAAATATTACAAATATTTACAAATTTGAAAGATGACAGTGCAGTCGGCTTTGATAACATTAGCAATAAAATCCTCAAAACTTTTAAGCATATTTTAATACCACCGTTAACACGCATTTTTCAAATCTGCCTTTCGCAGGGTATTTTCCCACAATGTTTAAAAAAAGCAGTAGTTACTCCTATCTATAAATCTGGATGTAAAGATCAGGTAAATAACTATAGACCAATATCAGTGCTTCCATCCTTATCAAAACTATTAGAAAAAAATATTAACAAAACGTTATTGACTACCTGGAAAAAAAATACTATTTGTCACCTACGCAATTTGGTTTTCGGGCAAAGTTGTTAACAGCAGATACGGTGCATAACCTGACTCACTATATTACTCAGGAATTAGGCAAAGGAAAGCATATTTTAGCTGTTTTTCTTGAATTAGCAAAAGCGTTCGATACCGTTTCAATTCCGAAGATTCTAAAAAAGTTGGAAGCATTGAGTATTAGAGGAACGCAGTTTAAACTGTTTGCAGTTATTGGGACAATCGATCTTAATGCGTTAAAATAGGAAATATTAAAAGTGATTACCAGAAAATGACCTGCTCTGGTATTCCCCAGGGAAGTATAATCGGCCCTACCCTTTTTCTTGTTTACATCAATGATTTATGTAACCTTAATTTAAAAATGTGATAAAATTATATCTTACGCCGATGATACGGCCTTGATTTTTAGCGCTAATAGTAGGTCTGAATTATATTAGACAGCTCAACTTGGTCTTAATGGTGTAAATAACTGACTTTGCTGCAATTTACTAACACTGAATACTGACAAAACCAATTATATTCACTTTTCTATGCGCCAGCCTTGTCATGGGTTTACAAATCCTAACTTATACGCACACCAATGCCAATATCCTTCAGTCAATATATGCGATTGCCCTTTAATACGGAACACATCCCATATAAAAGTCTAGGTATCTTAATTAACGACACATAATCTTTTAGACAGCATATTGCAAATCTAGTTGTCAGGATCCGAAAATTAATGTATATTTTTAAAAAAAATACGTACCATTGCAGGTCCAGAACTAATTAAACAGGTATATCAGGCCTTATGCCAATCAGTAATTCAATATTGTATAACTTCATGGGGTGGAGCTCTCTAAACTATTTTAATCCCTCTCGAGCGAGCTCAGAGAGTCATTTTAAAAGTATCTAATTCACTTCCCTTCTTATATCCTACGCATCAACTTTACAAATACTGTAATGTGTTAACTGTTCGCCAGCTTTTCATTATTCACACCATATTAAAACAACACACCATTTCACCTTTTTGCTCTGATATCACTAACAAAAGACGGAAAGATATAGTCTGCATCACTACACATGATTCAAAATACATCTTTTCACATAGATTCTCTACTTTCCTAAGTCCTTTCTTATATAATAAGTTAAATAGAGTGTTAAGTATTTATACATTAAACTATTTTAATTGTAGAAATGTAGTATTTAATTATTTGCACAACCTGACATACGAGCAGACCGAAGAATTACTTCTTATTTGTAAATAAATGAACGTAACTCCATAATTTACATTTACCAACATTTAAACAATGATTACTTTAAGTTCTATTTTAAATAATTTGTTAATTTATTAATCATTCAATGTATTATTTTAGATGATAAAAGCCTGAAATACAGGTACAATTTTAACTGTAACCTAGTTCAGGCATCCATTATTTTGTACTTTATATTATTATTAGTATTATTATGCAATGTATGACCTTATTTGAATAAAGATATATTTTATTATTATATTATTATTATAATTGATAACCTATGAGCATCTCTACATTTTCAGTAAGAATTTATGGTAATAATTCACGTAAACTACGAAACTTTTCACCACGCCGCCGGTTGTAGTTGAATGTTTTGACAATGTTAATTAATTTGGGGTTAAATTATATTCCGTTATGCGACCTACATATTATACAATAGTATCTATTTTTCTTTCACAATGGATTTAATTTAACATTTCTTAGGGCGTTTGTTTACGACCGGTTTTCCGCCGGGTCTAATAGTTCTAATAGTTCGCGAGCACGGTTTAGATGTTTGTTCTGACCCCAAAACGTTGCTAGAGCCGGTATCGTTAACAAAACTCCATAGTGTCCCATGCGTAACTGACGACTGGACTCTCGAACCATCCTTGAACAAAGACAAAACACTATGAAAGGTACTGCAGGTATTTGTATGTTGATAACGACAATTTTGTAATAAAGTCACAGCTGTTTATAAAACTATAAAATATACTTCTATTATCTTTGCATTATTTCTATCCGTGACCCTAGTGTCCCTACTTTCATCATCATCATCATCTTCAGCCTAATAATGTCCCCACTGCTGGAGCACAGGCCTTCCCTATGGATAGAATAGGAAGATTGGGCCATGACCCAACACGCGGGCCCAGTGCGGTTTGGCGGGAGCTAACGACTGCAGATGCAGCCCGGACCAACGGCTTAACGTGCCTTCCGAAGCATGGAAGAACTCGAGATAGAAGATTTGGTGTGACTAGGAAAGTTGCTTACCTACTTTCAACGATCAGCGCCTTCGGCTGCGATGCGAACCACCTGCGCCATCAAGCTCTTACTTTTGGGTACGCCAATTGGTGCGAGTGTTACAATATTCATTGATTTATGAGTTCGATGACAATGGTCACGTTCATTAACGTAACTCTAAGTAGAACACGACATTGCGGAATAGCATGCATCGGTCTGCTTCTAAGGACAATTTTGAAACCATTGATCCTATTGGAAATTGAAACTAAGGTACAAAATTAGAGTCTGGTAATCAACGTCAACCTAGCAATCAGACTTGTATTTATGATAGCTTAGCTATGATGTCATCGATAAAGAACTTGACTCTATCATGGCAGAAAGGTATAGAGATGAAGAAGGGCGAAGATTTTCTTTTCGGATTAAGAAACGCATGCATCAGCTGCTTACTTCGCAAATAGTCATACAATGGACAGGGTTTCATAGACAACAAAATTTGACATCCGTTCGTTGAATCAAGGCGTTTTCATATGAGAAGCTGGCGACCAAAACGGTATAATTACGCATCTGGTCAAACTCCTTTTTGAAGTGAAAACTTTTTTAGCGGCGTTGTACACTTTTTTTGTATGGGTAAAAAATGTTAAACTCGCGTCAGGTTAAACACGTGGGCTGATCGCATCATGACACATAATAAAATTGGAAAGGTTGTTGACTTTCAATATATTTGACGAAACATAGCAATATTTTATTTTACCGTATTATAATAATAAGTCTCTATCTAGGACGTCCACGTGGTAGCTTTATTGCCAAGAAAATGCATTTTTTTACAATAGATGCCTCTAGGTGCGCTTCTTCTTCTTCTTCTTGCTACGGTCGTTTCCGCAACTCGACGTCCTTATGGCGCCTGTTTTGCGTGAGGAGGATGTATGGCCGGAATCACTCCAGCCAGCCCAGCTCCGCCAGGAAGGCCTCCAGGGCCTTCACGTTGGTGACTGCCTCTTGAAGGTTTCCCGGTGAGCCGAGGTATTTCTATGTTGACACCTATGTTGAAAAGATGCCTATTAAAATGTGCATGTCCAGTAATAGTACCTGTTACCATGCGCAATGTAGGTTTGCTTAGCTGTAGGAGAGTTTTGGAGAAGGCAGCGTTCACCCGTGGCAAAGCGAGCTTGGTCTGACTGCACGTCACCAGTTCGAGCCAGTGTTGCTGGTGTAGTGCGGCAGTGTGCTCGCGAATTTTATTGACGAGACAGCTTACCGGTATCGGGACGATTGGTTCGGGGCCTGTTGGGGTCGTATCGGGTCCCTTCCGGGCCAGCTCATCCGCAGCGTCGTTTCCGCGTGATCCACTGTATCCCTTGATCCATTGGATGGTAATAGAATTGCTCGTCCCTACCGTGTTTAAGGTTTGGTGGCATTCTTGTAGTAAGCTCGATTTCACTAAACAGGCATCTAGAGCTTGTAGGACTGATTTGCTGTCAGACAGTATTCGTATTTCCTGTCCTGTTACCTTCTTTGAGAG